GTTTAGGGTTTAGGGTTTTGGGGTTTAGGTGTTTCGGGGTTTAGGGTTTAGGGGTTGAGGGTTTACGGGATTGGGGTTTAGGGTTTAGGGGTTTAGGGTTTAGGGTTTAGGGTCTAGGGTTTATAAGGGTTTTAGGGTTCTAGGGTTCTAGGGTTTTAGGACTTTAGGGTTTAGGGGTTTAGGGTTTTAGGGTTTTAGGGTTTAGGGTCTAGGGTTTATAAGGGTTTTCGGGTTCTAGGGTTCTAGGGTTTTAGGGTTTTAGGGTTTAGGGTCTAGGGTTAAGGTTTTTAGGGTTTATTAAGGTTTTAGGGTTTTAGAGTTTAGTAGGGTTTTAGGGTTTAGGGTTTAGGGTCCAGGGTTCACTAGGGTTTTAAGGATTTAGGGTTTCGCGTGCAATCGCCTGTAAGTTTCTAAAGGAACTCCTTGAGCGGCTTGTCATTCCTGACGGAGCTCGGCAGCTGCATCGTTGTAAACTCTGAACTTCTTAAGCTCGGGTACGACCCGTGTCCCCATGAACCTAAACTGCACGACCGAACTCTGAAGCCCATTGTACATCCCGCGAGCCATCCTTGAGTTGGCAGTATCCTACCTATAGAGGCAGCTTTGACACAATCGGACAGCCGCTTCTGCTGTTGCCGCTGTTGCTGCTACTCGGGATATGCGAGGCAGCTTGTCAGCTAGGGCCGCCACACCACCCGCCCGGGCCCTCGGACTCGGAGCATGAACCGTCCCAGTATTCCCAACAAGGAATCCAGTTGCACGTACATACCGTTCAGGCAATGAGTTCGGGTCCAGGCTTACCGGCCGCCACCGCAAGCAATGGATTGATTTTGACGGTTAATGGGTTTCTGACTTGCGCAGCAACATTTCACTGAACCTCTGTGGTCAATCACACCTGGAGGGCTACGCGTCCCCACGTCAACCCGTGATAGAAGCGCCCCGAATCTTCTTCTCCATGAGGTCATTGGGGTCAGTGTTTCACAGCATTGGGCGCTGCAAACCATGCAGCTTCTTTCTGCAAAACAGGCCGGCAGGTTGCAAAGCACACGATGTCGAAGCACACGCGTCACTGCCGCAGGTGCTTCAGCGGGGACTTGTGCGAGCAGTGCCACTATGAGCACAAGACCCAAAAGCAGCAGAAGAAACAGTACAAGAAGAAGGCCGGACCAGTCTTCCCATGCCAAGCAAGCATTGGCATCTGAAATCTCAGAGATCAGCGCGTGCATGGAGGATTCCCGGTCGGCTGATGCTGATCCGGGAGCCCCACCTCCAGGAGAAAGTCGAGTTTCACAAGCGTGCAGTCCTCAGAACAGGTCATGGGATAGCTTAGCTTCCGCTGGAAATCCGGAGACCTGTGGAGTCAGCCGGTCACAACCAGGGTGGATCCTGCTATGGCGAGCACAAGCGACATCATGCGACCCGCTCACCCTGAGCCTTGGCTCAACGGCACAGGGAAAGAACCAACAATCATGTGGGTGGTTGTCCAAATTATGGTCCCTTTTGGGGTACCCTAAATTATACCCTAAATTATAGGTGCCGTATTATAATAAGGACCCCAAAAGGGACCATAATTTTGACAACCACCCATGTTCGTGCTGATAGTAGCTGCGAGCTATGACTGAGGCTCGGACCGAGGCCACAGCATGCTGCGGTCGCGGCGAGTTTCCGCCTCAGCTGTCAATGCCCTTGCTGGTTGCGTAGACATTCCTCACTTGGAGGTTCATGGGTAGTTATAAGTGGGGTTATAAGTAGGGTAACTATATAATTATAACCCATATTAGGGGACTTATAACCCTACTTATAACTACCCATGAACCTCCAAGCAGAGCATGGTGTGAAGCCAGGTGCCTTCTTCGGAACTGCACTCTGCAGTGAAAGTCGAAAAATCCGAGGGGTGTGCCTGCCCAGCGTTTGTACTTCCGCGTGTTTCTTCTGAAGCACCGACGCCCTCGCGCTCCAAAGTTTTCAAGCTCTTCAGCTCCAGTGTCAGGATGTAGCTCTTTGTTTGAGGCTGAAACCCCAAACCCTAAACCCTAAACCCCAGATCGCCCAAGTCTGGGGCCCTGGGCCCCAAAACTTGGAGCTTGACCGCTCTGTCGTGTGCAGGAGGATCGCGATCCTGAAAGGGGTGTTCCAGTATTGTTTGTGGCAAAAGGGAGCCAGCTAAGCACTAGCGCGGTGCCATGGCAACGGCAGCAATGCCAAGAAGCAGCCTCCGCGAGGACCGAGCTGTGTGCTGCCAGCTTTGCGCAGCCTTCCTGCCTGCTGCTGTTCCTTTGCTACACTGCTTCCCATACCTTGACAGTAGACTTCGATCGCATTGGGGTAATGTTGTACCGCCACAGAAAATGTTTGACCGTCCCGTTTTTTGTCCTGGCTTGGTCTTTGGCTCGGCCTGGCTTGACTCGGGATTTTTATGGATTGCATTTTGGGAATTTATGACAAAGATGCGTGGGTGTCAGAGCATAGATCCTGAATACTGGGATGGCCGTTTAAACACTGGCCCGTAGTTGGTGGCCGTTATGGTCATGTGTGGTGGTTCAGGCTTTAGGATTTATCGTCGGCTTTTATGGGTGAAGGCGGTTGAGGGTTAGGGCCCTAAAGTCTTAGATATCTCTTCCTAAGCCCGTCCTGTAACCCCAGAATGGTAGGTCGCCACCTTCTGGAGTAGTACGGAAGAAGTCTGAAATCATTCCAAAACGGAAACACAAAACATCGCAAAACCTTGTGTGCGAAAAAACAGGGGCCCCACTGCGTTCCTTTCTGAAATTCTAAGGTGCATGCAAGTGATTGGGACCACAGGTAGACCATGCAAGGTCCAAGCGCAATATCCTTTCGAGTTCTAAGCCCTTTGGAACCCTAGCCCTAATCTCTTTTGCGGTACACCTGTTGAAGTCGAGGAGCAGACTCGCGAGCGTGATGATGAGCAGTAGCTGTTGCTCTTGATGTCGGTGCCACTTGGTGCTAGCCCAGCACCCTGCAAGAGGTCCTACAAACCCCAAAGCCTACAAACGTAAACGGTAAGCCAGAAGTACTGAATCCTGGGTCGGGTGTTACTGGATGCAGCGATGGGCCTTAATGCAGTTATCGTAGGATGCTCGACTATGGAAGAGTCCCTTGACGTGCCACAATCTGCTTTTCTCGCAGCCTCCCTATAGTGCCTGCATGAACAGGTTTATGTGATTACATACAACAGTGGGGTCATCGTAGCCTTGAGGCATAGCCTGCACTGAATAGGGTATGGGTCTACTGGTTAGAGCTGAGGCTGCGAGAGTTGTGGACTAGAGGTGTGGGGGGACATGTGCAGACAAGGGGGTCGAGGGGTGCAAGGTACAGGCGGTAGACGTGGTATCGGGGTGTCGGGGTGATAGGGGGGTGTTTGATAAAGCGGGCTTATGCAGAATGGGGGCCCAGTTGTTTAGCAGGGTCTCTTCCCTATTGGATGCCCCAAAGAGACTTTTCGGAAGGCGATGTATGCATAGGGAAGTGGGCGGATGTAGCCAACAAGGGGCCGTCGCACAAATTCCCCAGATCAGGAACGCCTTGTTGCCTGCTAAAAAGTGCCCTTGCCGTTTTGTTGTACCTTGACTACCTGGTTGTAGCCAGTAGTACATGCAGTTCAGAATCACAGCGGGCCTTTCAGCCTCGATCGGATTGTGGCTTCCTTAGGCCTTAGGCATGCCTTTTTATCAGCCCAGCGGCAAGCCGCTGGGGAGAGCGGGAGGATGCTTTCAGCCATCATGGAATCGTTGTATCGTTGTAGGCTTGCTGCTTTGCTGTCCGTGTGGCCGTCTCCTCCTGGCTTTAGCTGAGAGCCTGGCTGTCGTGCCCAGCTGAGGCGCCTCCGACTGGGTCGAACACCGGTTCAGGGTTTAGGGTTAAGTTGACGATCTGTGACGCGACCCTTGATTCATGCCTACGGTAGTTCTCGTCTCTTCCCTGGAAACTTGGTGACTGAGCTCATCGCGAGACGGCTGAGACTGCAGGTTTGCATGGACAAGGAAGTTGCCTCCAAGAAAGTTCCAGCCATCCGAGGCATGGGTGAGGCCTAGCACCTGCACGACATGCTTTCCGCAATGTACAGCAGTACAGCGGCAGATGCAAAGAAGGGGTAGTGTGGAAATGGAAGTCCGCTCTTGAGTTAATCAGTGGTGTCCCGGCGACGCTGCTACAGGTGACAGATGCGAAGTGCCGGACTCGTGAGGGTTTCTGTCTGCGATGCTTTTGGATGCTGCTGAGAGCTGTTGAGGGTAGTCAAGTACTCTGCTCAATGCAACATTGAAGATTTAGCTTTAAGCGGAATATTGGAAAAGCACATGCCACCAGACTCAAAAGACCACATATCATTGCGTAAACCGGCTTCAAGGACAGCCCCGCTGTGCTATTCCAAAAAGTCACGTCACCATTCACCACACCGCAGCTGCGTCGGAGCCTGAAACCAATCACGAAAGCTAGCGTAGCGAGGCTTTCATTTCTATGGGCGTCCCCCCCTTTTCCCCCTTCTCCCTCCGCTCTCTCCGTTGCTGAGTCGCTGATACAGCTGCATATTGGATGTGATGAGATGTGATGATGCCAGCTGCGTTTGCCCTACGTTGCTGTTGTGGTTGCATGTGGGTGTCCGTTCTGCTTCTTCGATGTGACGATGCTAGGAGTTTGGCACGATTCCCCCACACCTTTCATACTTCTGTCAGCTTATCCCCCTCCCGAAAGCCCAATGTCCAATGCACTTTGTTCCCATGCGTTTCGGCTGGTTCATGGGCAGTTATAAGAGGGGTTATCAGTAGGGTAACTATAATTATAACCCATATTGGGGGCCTTATAACCCTACCTAAAACTACCCATGAGCCTCCAAGTATACCCTCATACTTCTCTGTTGTTTAGTTGTGTCAGTCCACCAAGCCCAGGTCGCAGCCGATCGTCCGTACTCGAGAGGGCACCGCGGAGGTGCCCCCCCTTTGGTCTGCGCAAGTTTGTTGCAAGCTCCATCGTGGCCAGGATGTCAGAACGAGGATAGTTGCCATGGTGAAGGACGCATACCGGTTCTTGCTGACTAGGTGCTATTAGGAAAATATCCATGTGCATGACAGCCGCGCCCGACCACACCTAGTTTAGTTCGATGAACGCTCTGACGCACCAGCTTCCTTTGGAGCAAAGTGAAAGGTTATTGAAGGTTGCCAGGCCTGAATGGTCGAGCGTTGTGTGTTTTAGATGCGGGGTGGGGGGGGGGGGGGCATTTCATCCGATTTCAGGCCCGGATTTCCGGCCCAGGCCGAGTGCAAATGCAACACCATGTCAGGGTCAATTCTGAGGCAAGCCTGTTGCATTTCAGACGCACTGGTGAGATTTAGGGTTGTGGGTTTAGTGTTGTTGGACGTCAGCGATGTCAGATTTTAGAGTTTGGGGTTGAGGTTTTAGGGTTTGCGGCTTTTTGGGATTAGGGTTGGCATTTTCGATCTTAGGCTTTAGGGTTGGATTATGACTTTAGGGTTTTGGGGTTTCGGGCTCAGCGTTTTGGGTTTGGGCTTGGAGCTCAGGGTTTAGGGTTCAAGGTTTTTGGGCATCAGCGATGTCAGGGCTTAGGGTTTGGGGTTGATGGTTTAGGGTTGGGTGTTTTTTGGGTTGAGGGTTTAGGGTTGGGGGTTTGGGGCTTTAGCGATCTTTGGGTCTAGGGTTGGAATAGGCAATAGCGTTTCGGGTTTAGCGTTTGGGGTTTACGGGTTTGGGTTTGGGCCTCAGGGTTTAGGGTTTTTTGGTTTCGGGTTCAAGGATTTTGGGTGTAGTCGATCTAAGGGTTTAGGGTTTGGGGTTGAGGGTTTAGGGTGTTTGTTTTTGGGATTTAGGCTTGGTGGTTTGGGGTGTAGGGTTTAGGGTTTGGGGTGAGGGTTTCCAAGGTTTAGGGTTTAGGGTTAGCCTTTTAGGGTTTAGGGTTGGATTTGCTCAGGCCTTAGGGCTTCTGGGCACTATCGGGGTTCAGGGTTTAGGGTGGAGAGCACAGAAAGACGGTGCGCAAAGGAGCCCCCCAAAACCTTCGATTGCCGACCTCGCGTGGCCGGACCTGAACCGCACCCGGCGTGTCCGAAACTCCCCCTCGAAGAGGCCGAAACGCATCCATGCGGTTCCGAGCAGCGGACCTGAAACGCAACTTGCCGGACACGAAACGGCGTACCCGAAACGCGCTTTGACCCTGAATGGTCACGCCTTGAAGATCCCATTGAATCCTATTGAGTGTTTCTCAACAGCTGTTCGGTGGGGATGGTCGCGGCTAACCAGGAACCTCAGTTCCAGATGCTGACAATCTCTACTGGAGCAGGGGTCGCAACCTCAGCAGAGTATTGCCATCTCACTCCCTGTGCTACTCGTATAGTCGTAACGTGCACAATGGCAGAATCGATGAGTACATGAATCTTGCTATAGACTATAGAATTCGATAGTACTACAATGATATGGCAGACAAGCTCCGTTCTCGAGCGACTGGCAGGCTGAACCACTAGGCAAGCATTGTGGCACCAGGACAAAGGCGGCATAACTTGGACAGAAGCGGCGCGCAACGCCAAAACCGAGATCTGAGCAGTAAGAACCAGCGTGGGAGTCTTCAAACATTATACAAGAGCGGTGGAAGCCACGGGCACAGAACACAAAAACAGGCTGTCAGACTAACGGAATGTCAGAACCATAAGTTTTTGGAGCAAAAGATTACATCGACAACATAATGTACAAGGAAGACGAAAGATCGTACAGCATGAAAAGATGTCATCGTGCCGTGCTACCGTAAGCTTGCCAGGCAATGGTATGAAACGAATGAAAGAGGAACGAACTTCAATTACCTATGTGGCTAGTAATTCAGCAACACCTAGTAAGTTTTCAACACAAACTCTATTGCGGTAGTGTACTCGAGTGATGGAGCGAGGTAGTCGTGACCTCTTCGGTGAAAGGAGAAGCTCGTAATAGAGCAGGGTGGCAGTGACGCAAGATTCGTAGCAAGACGAACATATGCAACACCATGACGGGAAAAAGGACATGCGCAAATCTTCGGCCTATTTGGAGTGAACAGACACTTCTCCAAACCTAGTCTTTTGCTCGAAGAGGCTATCACTGTGGGAGCTGCCGGAGGCGCTTTCGGCATAGCCACTGGCATTGTGGCCGGCTCCGTCGCGGGGGTCGCGCCTGCACTGGCAACGCCGCCTGGCTCACTTGATCTTTTTTTTCCACACCACTGGCCACAGACCGCAAGCTGCAGGTTTGGCCTGTCGATTCCAGCAGGGGCCATGCTTGGCGCCGCTGCAGGCCTCTCGCGCTCTGTGCTCCCTCCTTCTGAGCGCAGAGGAGAGTCGCATCTCCCGAAGGCCTCCTCGTGGGCACCACAGCGGGTGGTGTGGCCGGGGGCACCGGCGGCTTCTGCCTCTACAAGTACCGAGTCTCTCAGCTCAATGCCCCTCATAGACGTCGAGGATGTGCCATGATCCTGAGGTCCAAATCAAAGACGGCGTGGTCCGCGTGCAGTTGAAGGTTCGCGCTGCTTGACAGCTTCACTTGTCGCTTGTGGCCGCTTGCAGGCGCGGAAATCCCTGTCCGAGGGATGCGAGACGGCACGGAAGTCCCTATCCGACGGATGCGAGACGGTCAAAGGCGACGGTCAATCTGCGAAGTTGCGGAAAGGCCCAGCTGAAGCAGACGTGGCAGCCCTGGTGGAAGGTGTCACCTCTCGCGCCAAGCTGGCCATTGAGTCGGCCAGGACGAAAGCCCACGAGAAGGCATGGAAAGATGAAGCCGCAAGCCTGCCCTGTGACCTCCTTTGACCCGAAGTGATGACTAGATGTGTCATGATGTGTGGACTCCCACAATGAAGCCGATTCGGCTGTCGCTCCCAAGGCTCCCACAAGAAGATGCAACCAACCGATGTTGCCAAAGTTCATTATACGGAACGGCTGTTTTGAAGGTGGGCGAGGCCATGACCTTTGCAACCTCCTCGCGCGCCGGATTCACCTCGGCTTCGACGATGCTGCGCGACCCATGAAGTAATGTAGTTCGCCATCACGCTACATAGTGCACCGCACGGTTCCTGCAGAAACTAATCATGCGACGCCCGACATTCCCCGAAGCGTAGCAAGCCTCAACCTCCCCTAAGCCCTCTGTAGGTACCAGTAGTACTTTTCGCAAACCCTCAAGGTCGTAGGTCGTTTATTTCCTAAACCCTAAACCCTAAACCCTAAAACCCCAAGCTGTGACCCAGGCTGGGTGGCTCACTGGGCACCGTGGCCGGTGCGGCCTGCGGCGCTGCCTGCGGCGCTGCCGTGGGTTTGGCCCGGCTCTCAACTCCTTGCGGTTGTAGAGGTAGGGTTTAGGGTTTAGGGTTTAGGGTTTAGGGTGAGGCATCGAACCCCGTGTGCCCTTGTAGGCCTTATAGAACCATTAGAGGAACTGGAACCTGACTTGTACAGGATCACGATATGTCCTAACCTAGGTTCCTGCGGTCTTCACCTTGGGTCTCTCGATCCCAATTAGTGCCGGGATCGGCTTGGCAGCCGGGGCGACCACCGGCGGTGGTGCCGGGGCACTCGGCGGCTCCTTGGAAGAATTGGGGGCAGGTTTGCTGTGGGATTTGCTCTGAGGGTTCTTTGGGGGTTGCTAAAGGGTTCTGCAGATGAAGGGTTGCATAGGATTTGAGTATTCATAGAGCCTTTGCCACCTTAGATGATTGTGGCGTGCGTGGCTGTGTGCCAGGCGGTGCATGTGGCTTTGTGGGCTTCACGTACCGAGACGAGATCAAGAGGCCAGGCCGTTGCACTTTGTCATGTCATGTATGCATGGAGAAAAGTAAGTGCGGGACGCAAGAAGTACCTTTGCACCAGCCATGTCTTAAAGGGAAGGTACAAGTATTTTGTTATGCTAGCCAAAGCTTGTGCTTCAAGTTGCCACATGGAGCATGCCGAGTCGCTCCGCTGCCAGATCTGCGGGCTACCTTCGAACGAAGACCATGGATTCTGCCGCCCAGGCGAAGGGCCGAGTCCTTGTAGCTTCGGCTTCCGGAGCAGTTTGAGTCTCGAGGTCACTGAGCGAGTGACGTCCTTGGTCGGACGGGGATCGGGGAAGACTGCGTGAAGTTTGCTGCATTGTCAGCCTGGCATGTCTTGTACTGTGTATCCAGCTTTCATCGATGTAGCCTGTTCTCGTCTGGTTACTCCGTGGCTATAACTTGCCGGCACTCATGTCATCGCCCCGGATTTGACTCCGCAGCTGGGTGAGCTGTGTACGTGAAGTTCATGCCGTGCCAGGTCTTCGGCGCGATGCCTGCAGCCTTCCACAGATGGCCCTCTTGTTTTCCATGCGGTGCTGGCGCACACTCCACTGTTCCATGGAAGAGCCCAACATCTTACATTTGTTACAAATTTTGACATGCTGTCTTGAAGCCAAGCTTGCTCTATTTAGTTGAGCCATCGCGTCAGCCCGCACCGTGGCCATGAAACCGGCTGCAAAGATGGCAAGCGTCGTGAGGACCTGACGACTGTTTGGCACTGTAGCCCCAGCTTCTCGAGCTCTGGCTGGTCTCCAGGCACAGTTGTCGGAGGCAGACAGGACCTCCAGCTAATTCGATGAGAGCGGTCTGCTTGCTCAGTGTTTTGCTGATCACTTTTGGCTTTATTTGTTATCGCTTGCGTGCATCTGCTAAGCTCGCGCCAAGCATAAACCCAAAGGGCAAGGGGGCAAGTGCAGTCCGTCAGCTCCGTTGCAAGGCCTACTAGTAGCTCTCTCAGCAGGATCCTCCCGCAGTCCTTTCAGAAGCAGCCGTCCAGTGCATCCTCCGCTCGTCCCTCCGAAGCCGTGTGGCTCCGTTTTGTGCAGGCCCGTGCTCGTCCAGCCATCTTGCAGCTCTCATGGCCGTCCTGCGGTCAACTCGCAGGCAGGGATTGGACTCGGGCTCACTTCACCTGCACCGGAGTAGCCTTCGATGTTTCGGAAGGCCTTTGCTTGCGACAGCAATTTTCCTGCTTTCGTGGCAGGCCAGCCGTATCCTTTTTTTCTTGCTTGGTCTTGCATGGGTATCGAATGTATCGACCTCTTCAGGGGCATTCAGCATCGCTCAGTACCATGTTTGTTGTTGACTATTTCCTGCATGTTGACATGGGCCCACATTCTAGCGCTGCAGACTTCGCAGCTTGTCAAGACGGTCTTCGTGGGTGGCGGCTCGGTGGCCAGACAGGCCAAGCATCACGGCAAGCCGCAAGCATTGAGAAGTAAGCGAAGTGACGAAGTGGGCCTTGCAATCGGAAGGTGCAAGTAGCGCGACATGCTGACAGCCCGATGGCCCAGGAAGCATCGCATCAGAAGCCTGCGGGACACTCTGATCTAGCAGCTGTCCCTGTGCCCCAAGGCTACTCACTTCGATACTTCGACGTCCGCGGTGCGGCTGAGTGGCAGCCTCGGATCTCGCCGCCTTTGGCGTCCTTCAACCTTTCCTTCAACCTGCTCTGGCACGGAACCCGAGGACTGTTCGCCTCCTACTTGCAGCTGCGGGACAAGAGTACGAGGCCTGTTGGGATCTTCGCACATGGAGGATGGTGCTCAGAGTCATGAGGGTCGAGCTTCAGGACAACCGGTACCCTCTAAGCTTCGGCGTGCCTGGGGACTTCTCCACCATCGTTCGAAAGGACTGCTGCTTCTGCTTCTTGCAGGCAGGTCAGGAAGGAGACAAAAAAGCATTGGATGAAGGGCAACATTAACACATCGATTTCTGCAGCACTCCTGTGTCAGTTGCTGTGAGGAATTCGATGATGACAAAGCCTCGGGCAAGCTGGACATTGCTCTCGGCAAGGTGCACGTCACCTCAAACCCCAAAGGCCCCAACGCCCCTTCTGCAGTCCACAGTCAAGAGTCGATCCATTAAGCCCTAAACGGCCCTAAACCCCAAACCCAACGCATTTGTTCTTAAGGGCCGAGAACGAAAACCCGACTTCTTTCCAGGTGCCCATCTTAGAGGTCGGAGACTTCTCACTCCCTCAGAGCAAGGCCATCGAACGATATCTGGCCCGAAGCTCAGAGCCGAATCCCAAACCCCAAACTACCCTAAACCCCAGGCCCTGAACCCTAAACTAAACTCGAAGCCGCCGAAAATCCTAAACTGCATCCCACGCCCATCTACACCCCATAACCCTATAGACCCAGAGCTGGCGGCACCCTTCGATTCTCGAAGCTCTGGCGCCACGAGGCTCGAAAGCTCGGGATGATGGGTGACAGCGAAGAGGAGGAGGCGAGAATGGGGTGCAGGGCAATGTGGTGTGTTGGGGGGGGGCTTCCGATGTAGGTCGAGGGTTTAAGGCTTGAAGGTTTATAGAGTTTCAGGCTCTAGGGTTTTAGGATGTTTGAGGCTTTCGGATTTGGAGTTTCAGGTTTGGGGCTTCAGGGCTTAAGCTGTAAAGAGCGGCCTTCGACCCCCTGGGCAGGCGCTTGTTGATGCAATGGCAGAGCATGTACGGGACATCAACGATGCTCCTTGGCCTGACTTGAGGGGGGAGTTCCCTAAACATCAGCTGCCAAGAGGTCATACTTGGAGGCTCGTGGGTCGTTTTAGGTAGGGTTATAAGGCCCCTAATATGGGTTATAATTCTAGCTACCCTACTTATAACCCCTCTTATAACTACCCATGGACCTCCAAGTAAGGGGGCTCAGTTTCAGGAAGAGGAAAGCCAAGGCCGCCCGAAGGACTCAGTCGGTCTTTAAAGGGGGTTTCGGCCTTTCGGCCTTGTGCCAACTGGAGCGACAAAGTCGACGAAGCATGCGTCGCTGTCCATTTCAAGCGTGGCATTCGAAATGGCACCGGTATCCGACAATCTTGCAGACGAGCTACCTGCAGGGAACTGCATACTGCGAATCCAACAGCCTTCCGTCGTGAGCCGGGCTGCGGTCTGCGTTGCACTTGCGAGTGCCGTCCGTGTACTTGCTCTCTCCCCGCCCCGAAGGGCGCCCCTCGACTGCGAGCCTTATTCCACCCCATGGAACCCGCGGGCCGCCCGTCCAAGCTCAAAGGGAGGTCCAAGCTCTTCATTGTGTCAGTTCGGGGTTTCTCCCTGATGGCCAGCTGGCTAACCTGTGCCTCGTGCTCGCGCGTCGCGGAAGGACTGGCTAAGTGTGAAAACCTGCAGCAAGGGTAGTTGTGAACGCTTCGGCGGTTGACGGGTTGGTGGTGTGCTTGTGGAGTGCTGGCAAAGTCGGGGAGGAGAAAACTCAACTGTGAGCCTCTGACCCTTCCACCGGGACCGGGGCAGACGAAAAACCTCGACCTCGTACTCGGAATCATCCGAAGTTTTGCCGCAATCAACTTCGGGGTTTTTGGCTCGTGGTTGAAATCATAGCGTAGGGGAGGCACAAGATGGTACAAGCTGGCGGGGAATCGGAGAGATGGCGAGAATTTTCCCAGTGTCTGTGACGATCTTTGCCATGGTTGTGAGACGACCACCTGCTGGTCGAGTTGGCAACAGCACGAAAAAACGATTGCGGCAAGACAGCATGTACAAATCGCCTGACTTCGGTGTTTTATGAGTAGTTCAATGCGATCCAAGCCATTGCGGCATGGCGGCTGGACCTTCAAGGAACAGTTTCGATCATGCTCGCTTGATTCAGTAAGCCGCGACAGCTAGCAATCCATCTCCAAGACATACGTGCGAATGCTCGAAACACTGTGCTGCGCGACTTCTAGGTAAGGTGTGTGTGTGTGTGTGTGTTTGTTGAATGTGCCCGTGTAATAGTACACATAACCGAACTCAGGCCTACCAGCGGAAGGGGGTGTTCTTCATGAAGGATGAAGAGAAAAAAGCAGCTGCCTGGTGGAAAGTCACAGAGGGCTGTGAGGGACCTGGAGATGATTACCGGATGCTGAGCAAACTAAGGAGCTGCAAAAGAAGTGGTACGAGGAGGACGTGTCAGTTCGGAATCGAAGATATCGAAGGGTGTTGATCGTTGAATCTCTGCCGGTGCCTGGTCAAGAGGAGCTGCCCGACTGGCTGTCAAAGCTGGAGAAGGCTCTTCCCGGCAGCGGAGGCTTTGCTGTCGGCAGCAAGGCGGGTCGCTGAAGAGTTCAAAGCATTTCTTCACGATAGTGTTGTGTAACAGGCGTCTCTTGCCGACGTGGTTATCTTTAAGCTTCTGAAGGTCCCGTCGTGCAGCCGGAAGTGAGCCCAATCTATGTCCACCCTGGCCTGTTGAGGACACGTACCCGGATGATGTCTCCGCTGCCTACGATGCCTGCCCGAAGATCAAGGCACCGGCCTGGCACGAATCGGAGCTTTGCGCTGAGCGTAAAGGCTTAAAACCTCGCTTCCGGCTTGGCAGAGTCTCCGCAGGCAATCGTCGAGGGCATCGACAAGAACGAGGGCATCAAGAAGTGGCTGGAAGAGAGGAGAGCACCGTTCCTCCCGAGTGATGATCCACCTCCCTAGGAAACAGTACTGTAGCTGTCGCTGAGTTGAGGGCAGGGGCCAACCACACCACACGGCCAAACTGTCACAAGTCTATGGAATGGAAGATTTTGATGTCCGAGCCGCCAGGCCCAAGACCTTCATCTGAAGCCGGTGCCGGTGCGCTGCAGTGTCCTGTACAGCTGTTAGGAAACCCGATGCGATACGAGTGAGAATCATATGAAAAAAAGTCAGTCTTTCTCAACAGCCGGAGCCGCACGAGAGTCCAATGGAGGATGCCTGTGTCTAGGCCGCTCTGCATGCTTAAGCAACCTGCCACCTGCTACCGCATCTTTGAGCTTAGCTTAGGAGTAGGAGGGAAACTCGGTGTTTGTGCTCCTGTCGGAGCCCGGGTGTCCCGGGCTCGGGTGATGCTCAGGGGCCGCTGCATGGTGTGGTGTTTGTAGTTTTTGCCGTGCTGCGGCTGCAGGGGCATGCCACCACAGATGCCTTCATGGTGGCGGAGGCTGTGTTCATAAAATCCCTTGCTGTCGCAGCGTGCTTGGGCCGCATCTTCACAGGTCAGCGCACAGATCTTTAATACCAGTGGTGACCTCGGTTCTCACCCTGCATAAACGGGTCCAGGGCAGGCGGCGAGTTAGAATTCAGGTCCCAAAGTGGCTGCTTGGCCTGCCGGATCCGCAGAGCTCGGTCCCACGGTCGAGTTAAGGCTGTGTCCGGGTTTCCAACTAAGGCTGTGTATAGCAGCGACGCTGCCCTCGGCTGTGACGTTTCTCTGCAGGTGAGATTGCTTCAAGTCTGGCTATCAGTCTTGTTACAATCTTCTTGACACAGTCTGTTGCAGTGAGATGTAGGCCCGCCGTCATTGGGTCGGATGCCGGTAGAAGCAGTGGCCCCACACTGAAGAGGGGGTGGGGGTCAGCTTCTGCACATCCTTCAGAAACCAGCCCGCGGCCGAGGCCGCACACAGCTTGCAGCGACTGTCGCAGTCTCGGCATGCTGTAGCAGTGGCACAAGTCCTTCTTTTTCAGTGTTTGCCTCCTGGCCCACCGTGAGGCGGCTCCCATTGCAAGGAGAAAGAAAGGTTCAGCACTTGTGAAGCGAGTGCCCGCCTCACGAGCCAGACCTGAGATGCACAGCGGTGCAGCCGTCCCATCTGCTCAGATACCGCCGCCTTCCGTGAAAGTCACCAAGCTGGCGAAAGGTGAGAGATATAGAGGGCAGGGCTCTCAGTGCAGCTTGCCGAACCGCAGTCGAAAGATGTCGAAAGCACATGAAGCAGTGGCCAGGTACATCAATCCGAAACTCAAAGCTCTAGTTGCAGCGACCGCCTCAGCCATGGGGTGTCTTATCCTCTTGCCTTCTCAAGGCTTTCTGAGTGCATCCCTTGCTGGCTTTTCAAACCGAAGACTCTGCCTTCCAGCAGGCACCCGAGTACCGGAAGGTCGTGGATCTGTTGTTCAAGTTGGAAAACGAGGTGGCCCCCTTTCATTTGCCAACCAGCCGCCAGCCATGGCTCTTCTGTGCCCCCGGCTGTCAGAACAAGCTCGACATTCTTCTCGCGAACGCTCAGGCCACAATCCTACCGGGCCTGCTCCATAGCATTCCATAGCCCTACACCCGAAAGCCCTAATAAGGCCCTAAGCCCCAAGCCCCCCCCAAAAAGACGGGTATCCTTAGGAATTGATTCCCGGAGGACTATTGGCTGGGCCTCAACATCTACGAGGCCTCCAGGTTGGCCGCTCGGATGCAAAGTCCGAACCTTGCGAAACTCTCCCCGCCGTATGCTCCTGTAGACTAGTATGGAAGGTAAAGTGCATACGATACAAGATCTCGCATACGAGATATAATTATAATATACGTAAAATGTAGAAAATATGCAATAACATATGCTGCAGACTAAAATGATGTTATCACAGAGCAGAGGGGTCCGGGGGTCGGCTTTGGCTTGGAGCTTGGAGCCCACCCTTCCTTCGAAGTTCTCGTGTCTGCCATTGCTGAGGAGCGGGAGCAGGGACGCAAAGCTGTCTCGAAGATCATTCGAAGAGACTGGTCCAGGACCCGCAGAGGTCGATGACCTGTAGTGCAGCTTGAAGCTTGCAGGGTCTAAATATCCCCAAGTCTACACATCCAACCTGACCCCAGAAGCCATATTTGGTATCTCTGCGTGGAAACCCAATAATCAAGCGCGCTCCCTACTGTAGCTGATTCGACCATCTTCGATTTGACGTGCCTGGCTTCGTGAAGACAGCACGAAATCCCTAGTTCACTTTTCGTCCAAGAGACTGGCGCCATGGTGGTTCTCAAAATCAGAGCGGCTGATGGACAATTCTTCCGCTTCCGGGTCGAAGAGTGCACCTTGGACGTCGTCACGGAGAAGCTGGAAGCCGTGGGGAGCCGGAATGCTTGGCTAGTCTTGCCAGACGGCTCGAGGAGGCCTTTGTCAGACGCCGCACTCCAAGCTGCATTGGATTCCGGGGCTGAGGTCCTGAAAATGGAAGTCTGTGACGGAAGCCCTTGCGGCGGGAGTCCATCTTCTGCATCCGAGAGCATAGACTGTGGTCCCGCTGCAAGCACGGCCAGCACGGACTTGCAGTTTGAGCCTGATGCGGCTCCATCTGCGCCCGTGATGGATATGGCGATGGATATGGCGGATGTGGAGCAGGAGCCACAAGGGTCACCCTCACTGCAGGAGGGTCACAGGCACCTTCAGCACGTGGATGCGGAGCATCAGCAGCAGATATGGCAGTCGCACGTGATGGGCCACGTTTACCAGCACCAGCACGCCATCCATCAGCATGTCGCGCAGCAACAGCAAGCTGTCCAGCAGGCCGTCCACGAGCAAGTTGCTCAGCACAGGCGAGCTCTGCACCAGCAGCAGCAACAAGCCCAAGAGGCCGTCCGTGAACACGTCGCGCAGCACTGGCAGGCCATTCAGCGACACCAGCAAGCCATGCGCGAGCATGTCGCTCAGCAGCATCAAGCTGTGCGCGAGCATGTCGCTCAGCATCACCAGGCCGTGCGGGAGCACGTTGCACAGCAGCAGCAGGCCGTGCGCGAGCATGTCCAGCAGCACTTGCAGCAGGCAGCAGCAGGTTTGCAGCAGATTCAGCCCTTTATCCAGAATCTGCCGCAGCAGCTGCATGGCATTCACCAGAACTGGCAACACCATCTGCAACAGCACTTGGGAAACGGACCATTGTTGCCTCCCCGAGCTGCTGGCGATCTGCTGGAGCCTTACGGCCTTGCAGGGCTTGTCGAGTTGTTTGTGGCTGAGATCTGCAACTTCCTCTTACCGTCAGGAATGCATCGCCCGAAGGGGCGGCTTCCCCCGCTCACTGGGCAGATGCCATGGGTTGTGATGCCGAGGCAGGCAACTGGAATCCCCTAAGCAAGGTGCCTTGATGTAAACGAATCTCGCAGGGCCCGCTGATGCATACATCACCTCTCTACCTGGATGGGCAACGCCGGCACCTGACTCGATGGCCCGAGACTTAAACATGACCCTCTGCCACGCTTCCTATCCTTCACGGCTTCCGGCTCATGGAGGTCGTGCTAAGCCGTGCCCAGGATGCTTACAGGCTCCATCCACTTAAACAACAGCGACCTGATCCTGGAGGACAGTATGGTGACAGGTGCGCATTTTCCGTACGGATGATCAAAGTTACATTGCCACATGTCAGGCAGCTTGCATCTCAACGGACATTCGCGTGTACTGCTGAGACGTGGAATGCTTACTGGCAGCGTCCAGACCTTGGTCCACCACGACGTTTCACCATCTCCCGTGAGGCAGCTGTGATGCCGTGCGGTGATCTTGCTCAGGTGATTCGGAGTGCGGACTCCACCTTTGAGAACCGACAGGGCATGCTGACTGGACAGGCCGTGAGTCTGTGATTCTGCAGTGTCAGAGCCCGGTTGGTGACAGAGCGCCCCTCGCTGAGCAGGTCGTAAGCGCACATTGAGCTGGACTTGTACAGATTTATTAGCTATTGTTCATATTCAATTAATTATAATAATATATTAAATATATACTATAATAATAGCACTGCAGGGGTCATTGCTCTCGGGCGTCCTTGGCACTCACAGGTGCAAGCCAACGTGGGAGCATGTCGAACTAAGTGCAGTCCGGTTCGATGCTCCGATTGCATGCGCCTTCTGAGGGCTTTTAAGTTCACAGTACAGATCTTGCCCAGCCCAAAGCGGATGATGCGACCTAGCTATGCTGCAAAACTGTGCACCAGCAACCCTTCAGTCATCGAACAGTGAGCCCAAGAGCTGGCAGATGCCGGCATCATCGTGGAGGCTTGTTGGCTCAATCGCAGAGCTTTGGTACAGATCAGTCTCAGAGCTTTCAGATGATTTCGCCTGAGTTTCAGTCCCCAGCCGAAAGAGAGGGCTTGTCAAAAGTTTACCTGCTCACCCTCCCACCAACCCTCCTATAGTTCAGGTGTGTAGTGGAGTTGAAGATCGCCCCGAGCTATCTAAATAATTACGCTTAGTCGCCAAGAGAAGTGCCCGTCTTGTGGCAATGCGGTGTTGAACACTGACGTGGAATGCCTCGTGGAACACACCACGGTCCAGTGCTTATGTCCTCTGACTTTGCCACATCTCTGACAGCAGTGTGTGTCCTGGTTTTGACGTACAGGCCTCTGGAAGCCTTTGCCGAAAGACATCTTCAAGTCCCGATGGAAAGCTTTCTACAAGCGCTGTTTCAGGACTGCGGCTGAAATTACAGATGTTTAGCTTCACCTGTTCTGCTCTTCGCTCTTCGCCGCACAGCTCCGACGAAGAGGCCTCGAAGCGTGGGAAACAATGTGGACAGAAGGCCGCCACACATCCAGGCTCTTGGGATCCGATTTTTTTCTGTTCGGCTGCTTTTTGCTACGATTACTAATGGGAACGGGCGATGGCAGCCAGGCTATTTTCACCGAGGACGTGCCCTCTCCATGGAAGTTCCATCTATACCCAAAGCAGGTCACGCCATGATCCGGCTAGCACGGGAGTTGCCACGGATGCGGACTCTTAGCAATGCGCCAGGTCGGCGATCAAACCAGCCCGCTCGACAGCACTGCCTTCAGAGCATACGGAGCCTCGGAGAAAGTTCGAGTCTTTTCGGCTTCGCGACCTGGCTTGATCTGCGCAGCCTGAAAGGAAATACCATTGGCAAGTACTTGCAGCTCGGAGCTCATGTAGGAATGTAGGGTGCTGAATAAGTACTGAATGTTGGGTGCAGCTTTCGCTTTCTGGAAGGCCAGCCTATGCAGCCTCTGAGGGAACCGCAAGCGATGTGGTCCTTCGCTGCCAGGAGCCTCAGCTGTGACAAGACCGCAGAAGGCAGAGGGGGGGCATCAATTCTGCCGTTGCCTCGGCTTTCAGGTCTGGATGCGGGCCGTAGGGGCTCAGGCTCCTTGTCTGGGCTCGGAAGATTGGAGGCCAGGGAGTATGGGACAGCTGATGGGGGGCCTTGATGGTCCGTTTTTGTCACATGAACGAGGCCGCCTGGGGGACAACAATGGGTGGCAGGGACTCCCTTGCCACCCGGCATCCGCACCTCGGATGCTCATGGCAGAGCTTGGCCTTGCTGTTGCTGAGGCTCCGCAGCACATACACAAAGAGCTGAAAATGGTTTGCGGGCAGAATCCCGACGAAGTCATCGCCAAGCAGACCCGTTTCTTCAAGGCCCCTGCGAACCCACCACGCCGCACCGCAAGTTTTCTGGCAAGCCTTCTGCAGAGGTCAGGAGGTTAATGCACTTGCTGGAAGAGCAGGACGACACAAGGGAAGCGGTTGCGTAGAGTTGATGGACCGTTGGAGCTTGTCCAGAAGCCTTGCTGCAGCTGCCACAGGAAATCGTTTGGTCAGGTGGCAGACGTTTGCAAACGAGGCTAGCCGCCAGGCGGGTCAAGAGTCCTTGTCTTATCCTGTGTGGCAATCAGGGTTTCGGCGCCTCAGATGCCTCAGGAGTCGCTCGACAGACGACCCTCGTGGCAATTTTCCGTACATCGACGTGGGCCTGGCAAGTTTGACTTGCTGAGCAATGCAGGTGTGAGCCGAGTAAGCGCATGTGTCTGCACCGGCAAAGGGACACTCGGAGAGCAGCGGGTGAAAGTATCTCTGATGTAGCTCTGGTGCGCATCACGGACGTCTTGATAAACGGGGCGGAAAGGGGATAGAGGGGGCTTTGGTCCCTTCACAGGGTCGGCGTCCCTGTTGTCTTCTAAATCGACGACTCATAGCACTGGTTGTTTTTTTGGAAGGTTCGACTAGACGAATGAAACGTACTGAGACGTACTGTACTTACGCTATTACCCCATCCAAATCGTTTTATACGTGCACACGGCTGCAGTCGCGAAGGCAAGGACATGGACCCACCTACACCAGAAATCACCAGAAACAGGGGACATGGGGACTGGTGGCGGCCACAACCTCTGCAGCCGGGGAAGGGCAAACATGTCCCCATTGCTTGGCCCGTTGGTCTGTCTGACTGTCCTTGCCAAGGCCATTGTCTGTTCGCCTGTTACGTCGGTCTGCGGGTGCTTACATGCACGGCGCACCGTCCATCGGAGTGGGCTTGCACTGCTGGCGTGCGCTCTCACAGAAAGCAGTGGCATGCCCCTTGCAGTCGCCAGGAGAAGGCTGGTCTTTTGGACGAGCTGGATCTTGCAGAAATCCTGAGGCATCGCTGCTGGTGTTCCTGTCATTAGCGATTTGTGTGTCCTTCCCGGCCTGCGAGGGTGAACCACAAAACCAACAGCCGCCGCCTTCCAAAGTGGAAAGAGATCCAGTTCTGGTTCAAAAAGTGGACCAGCTCTCAGCTTGCTCTCGAAAGCCATGGCGGGTCGCACTTGTGCTGCCATTTCAGGCACCGCGTGTACCTGCGGAGACGGGCTGTGAAGATCGCAGAAGCCAAAGCGCGAATGGGCGTGATCAAGCAGGCATCTGCAAGTACACGAACATATCATATGCGCATAGATACACTACAGCAGTCTGTGACGGCCATTTCATTGTGGCCGGATCGCCGCGCTGGACAGCATCAAATATTTGGAGATGTTCATGCCGAACTCCGTGCCAGGTCATCGCCTAGCTCGTGGGCGCGGCTGGCACAAAAAGAAAACGTGCCAGAGTGTTCATTTCATTCGTTGCCGACATGTGCACTCGAGGCATGTACATGTGTATATGGTATATATACATATAGATAAATAGATAGATAGATAGATAGATAGATAGATGGGTAGATAGATGGATAGATAGATATATGTATATATATATATATATATCTATACATGTGCGTCCATCCGCCTACAAATGAACTTGAGGGCAAACCAGGCCAACAGTTCGCATACACCGTCTCACGAGAGAAAACTAGCTCCGCTCCTCTCGTTTTTTGATTTTGCAGTATGGGGGTTTCCGAAAATAGGGGACCCTAATATAGTACCCGAAAAAAAAGGATCCTTATTATAAGGACCCCAAAATAAGGTACCCAAATTTTCGGAAAGTCCCGTATTCATCCCGCAGGATCTGGCCAAAGGAGTTAGAAGACTCCAGCCACGGCCTCAAGACAAGCAGGGGCTCAAGTTTGAGGTTTCCCCTTTTCATACGCTCCTACATCAACACGCGTGCGAAGCCCTGCCTCAACTAGACAGGCCAGTACGTGTCAAAACTGTGTGGACGGCGGAATGGAAGCTGTGGATTCTCAGCGTGACTGCATCCCAACTATGCTTCCTTACATGCAGTATGTCGCTTCAGATACCTGCTGAACACAGCAGTCCTGTCCTGAATCTATTCCTGCCCACATCCGCGTGTTTGAGTAAGCCCGCCAGCGCATTCAGATGTGATATTGAAGACAATGTGTTTCTGCGGCTGGTTGCTTTCCTCCTGAATTCTCGATTTCGTTGTCCAACAGTTGCACCGCTTGGCACAGCAGTAGCGGTGAGTATCGATTTGATGATAATGACGGTTGAAATGCCTGCGCTTGATGATAGTAGTGGTGCTAGCAGCCATGATTTCGGGTGTCAACATATCTGCAGTGCTGGGCCCCGATGTGCTGCACCAAAATACAGAGCCTCAAACTTTACACCCTAAGCCGCCCTCAACCCTAAACTCCTAAACCCTACGTAACCTGATGTCCTGTCTCGCCCAAGGGCTGGAAGCCTATGATCTCTTCAGCGCATTTTGGCGGAGAGTTGAGCAGAGCCAGATCATTGCAGGGTGCTCAGCTGTGCTTCACAGTTTGAACGTTTTGGGTCGAGTGTTTACTGTTGTTTACATACAGACGCGAAAATGGAATGGGTAATCGCAAGACTGAATCGCAAAAGCAACAATAACAAGAGCCGTTACCCACTGTAATACCAATGGTGATAACATTAACTTTACTGTAAATTCTAAGTGCCGTGACGTTTTTGCCTCAAAGGGATGCCAATAGATCGCTTATCCAGGCAGCCCGTCACATCCTCTCGCATCGGCTTTGCAGGACACGATGATCGGCGAAGGTCGGTGCCTTAGGGCTGGCCGGTCGTGCTTGCAGTGTTGTAGAGAGGTTCCGGAGCAAGCACGAGCATGTCTGGCGCAACTAAGTTCTCCCAGATCTAAAGCGGGGCTATGACAGTGTCATGGATCGCGAGGGTCAAGACAGGCGCGCAGTGTCATGGAGCTCTTTTTGCAGCCTGCCTAGTCTGGAGGACTAGGTCCAGTGACCCTGTCGTGTCAGGCTCCTGTCACTGTCGGAAACAGGACGATTGGAGGAGGCAATTCCTTGGTACCGCCAAAGCCGCACTCCGGCATCCTGTGGTCTGCTCCTGGTGTTCAGTTCACTCTTGGCTGCAGTTCCAAAGCCGCTTCAACGACTCCACGACAGCTGACCAGTATCGCATCCTCGCCGAGGCTCCTGGGGCCTCTCAGGGTTGTGGGGATCTCTATGGTCTAAGCCGCCCTCTGGCCAGAACGACACCGCCATACCTGTGCTGTCCGAAAAGGCCCGGAAGTTATTACGTCGCCTTGCTCGGGTGTGCACCCTGTGGTTGTCATGCACCTGCCTCGGTGTGTGAGTTGCTACCTTTCTTCGTTCGGGGGATGGACGACTTCGAGTACAAGGCAGTGTGCATGGGAGCCGTTTGGACCATGTGCCTTATCATGGCCACGGACGGATCTCCAGATCCCTGACAGATTGCCAACACTCCGGTAGCGTTGCCGGGCTGGGCAGATATCATTGTTGGCTCCGTCGTGGCACCTCCTGGCATGGTTGCACATTTTGAATTGTGCACCGTGTCCAGCCGCGATGGGTGCCCGCCAGGTCCTGGGCTTCGTTCTTGTTTTAGCACTGAGTGGGGTCGGAAGCTTACGGCACCGCAATGATGCTGCAGCTGAGCGACAGTAACTAGAGATATGCAAGAAGACCTATCGAGGAGCTCCAGCTTCCATCCATGGACGAGCAGTTCACGCTTGAGCGCTCTGCGCCAAAAAAGATCATCGTGCCGGTGCTGCCGCCGAGTTTGGGGACTCAAGGCTCCGAGGTTTGTATTCGTGTGCAGGGGTGTATAGTAAATAGATGAATCCATCCACCCACCCGCCCGCCCAACTACATGTGTTCTTGTGTTGGGCGGAGCCTTGCAGTGCTGCACATGTCTTAGGTCTTGGCAACATGCTGTAGGTCCATTGTAGGTGTGCGGAGTGCTGTTAGAGTGATGCGCTGCGTGAGCGGGGGTTCCACTCCAGAAAAGGGTGCGCTCAAAATTACAGGGGGAAGCCCCTCCCCTCGTTCCGCAGAAAGAAAGGGTCTTTCCACTTCATTGAATATCGAAATGACGGCAGGGGAGTTCGGGAACTTGCTTAAGAAGCAAGGGAGCTTGGTATTCAGCTGCATGAAGGCAGCTCTGAGCCAGGTCATACCAAATGGACCCGGAGCGCAACCCGGGCTGGCCAAAACTGCGGTGCAGACAACGGCGTAGCAAGTTTTCGTGACGGCACGGGGTGGACCATCATGGACCGCCGTAGTCATCGTAGTCGTAAATAAGGGCTACCTTATTGTGGGTCCTTATAACAAGGATCCTATTGTTTCGGGTACTATATTGGGGTCCCCTATTTTCGGAAACCCCCACATCAAGCTAAAGTTGGTCGCCGAGAAACACTTCAGAAAGTAGCTGATGATCTCAGTAGAGAGAGGCGGCCGTCACCAACAGTTCTCTGTCCCGGCTGCTGCGAATGCAGGTCAAGCTTAAAGACCTGCGTGTCAAAGCCCAAATGCCCAAACTGTTTGTCAAACACGGCGCCGAAGACTGCTGCGGCAAAAAAACTGTGATTTCATGTGCCTGGAGCAAGCGGCACTCGGACGTGGCGCCCAAGGCATACCGTGCTTCCCGCCACGTTCTAATGTCTTGCGATCTTGTGGTCTTCCGTAGCCTCTGGCTGCTTACAACGCATACGGTAGTCGTGCATGCGATGTTGCTGGAGAAACAGGGCTGGATACACCGTTATGATCATGCATCGTTGCCCACATCCGTGTACCGTTCCAGTAGTCAATTTCGCGCTAGACGAAGAGCCAAGATCCAGCCATATCCAGCCTTTGGTGTCTACTTGGTTGCAGCGTTTGTGGCCCCCTGCGAACCAGCCATGGAGGTTGGACCTCCGGGACATGGATTGGCCTCAGCTCGTGGAAATGTTCAGGGACACTGGCTCTAGATTTCTTGTCTGGGGTGAGCTTCCCCTAACTCCCCAGGTACCTACTATATAGGGCCCTAGGGGCCCTAGTACTCTATATGGTAGGTACCTGGGGGGTTAGGGTTCTTGCCCTCCATCAAGGGCTTGGAGCAAGGGAGGTGATCACACAAGGACTGCAGGAATGAGAAGAGGCACCACCAAGCCCGTCTGTGCAGGTTGGGGGCAGGGGTTCTTTGACGACCTTCCGAAGGCAGCGAAAAGCTTGCGGGAAGATGCAAGTGCAGTCTTCATTTTCATGAAAGGCCGCTGACAGAGAGCAATGCCGATGTGGACATTGAGGTGCTGCAGCCTTTCGCATGGAAATCCTTGTGGGAACCAGCAAGCCGGACGCACAGTCTGGTCCTTCACCGCAGGTGGGTGGCTTGGATCGCGAGCGTTCGCGCGAAGAACCAGGCCCGACTCCGCACGCTGCTGTCCAAGCGCGCGCTTGAGGCAAGTAGGACGAGACTAGCGCTGTCCATGCAGGGCACCAGCCACACTTCGCCATGCGGGGGACGGCTTCCTCACCTCGGGCCTCGTCCCCGCATGGCCGTGCAGGCACATGTCATCTGCAATCTGCAAAGACCATTTAAAGCTGCATGTGGGCAACCGATGCATGACAGGCACATCGCCCAAGTCGAACATGTCCCAGCCTCGTTTCAGCAGCATGTTGGCAGACACCCGGCAATGGGAACATGATGTTTTGGCGATGAGTGGCCACAAAAAATCACGGCAGATACTCTAGATTAAGCTTCAACTCGAAAGCACCTTGCAGGTGACCTTGTGAAAGCTTTCGTCTATTCACCCTATAAGTCCCTTCGTAGTTATGGATGTGAGGGCATTTTCTTATGCACAGCCCAGGCCGCGGCCGGCGGCAGCCAGCGGACGCACGCAGAACATGGGCAGGCAGAGGCCCGAAGACCGAAGCGCAGCGCTGCCAAAGCTTTGAAGAAAGGAGAGCGTTGAAACGGGCTCACATGGCAGGTCTGTTCAGACGGCTGGGGAGGCCAGGATCCCGAAAACGGGGGGGGGGGGGGGGGNNAGGCTTTTTTTCCCTGGAGCCAGAAACCCAAAACCCATCCTGCGCCTGCTTGTTCGAGCCAGGCTTTGGTGGCTGCCGCCCTGTCGGGTGCGGGCCGACGTTTGCCCGGCCTAGGCGCAGGGACCACAGAGACCTTTTTGGAGGCTTTAGGAGTGTCTCTTTGGGGTGTAGCACAGGCGTCCTGACATGATCAGCATTGGGTTTAGGGATAGAAACTCTAATGAGGGATCTACTGGGACTGGAAACCCTAAACCCTAAAC